AATTTGGGTTTACGACTCTGACTCAGTAAATGCCGGCTGAAATTTGTCTGCAGTTGATGCAGTTTTCCACAGTTTTTCACAGTTTTCCGCAGTTTGCTGTCAGTTTAACGATTGTTTATATCGGATCCGCGGGGGGCTAGCGGTCAGTTTTATTTTGGTCCCGTTTGCAGATCATGGGTGGAGTTTTCTTTTACTGTTTTGCATGCTGGTGATTTTTTAATGGGTGCACACTTTTTATATTTATGTATGCCACATTAATAAAAAAAGAAATGTGGAAAATTTGTATGTATTTATTTTTGCATTGGTGATTGTTAATTTTTATTGCCGAGGAGTCTGTCGTAAAATATCTCTTCGGGGACAGTGAACCCATAGTTTACGATAGTTGCTCGCCCCATAAAAATCGTGGCCCATTGCAGAAATGGAACCCAAATGATTTGTCGTAATATTGGGAACAATATTTTTTATGTTCGTCATTGAGTGAGGTTTAAAGATATTAAATTCACTTTTAGTATTTTTGTATGTCCTATCAAATGAAACGGAATCACAATTTTTGATAGTCTGTATTTGTTTGCTTTGTCTTAAAAAATTTATATACTTACTAAATATAAAACTTAACAAATATTCAGAAACAGTAAAGCTATTCACTTAGTTTAAATAAGCTTAAAATAAGAGCATAAAAAACAAAGATAGTGCAGGTGATTATCTGGAAACTCAATTTAGAAGCTCCGTCGTAACTTTCCTCCTTTCGTTTCAAAATTTTCGCTGCACTTGTCTCGGTTAAATTATGTAGATTTATGCCCACCTCCGCCTCTACGTTGTCCTGGCTGGAAAGTTCCTTCCGAACGCCTCCAACTCCGAGCCCGATTAATTGCTTTTGCAGCTTCCGTCGCTTTTCGCCCGCTTTTCACCCGCCTGAGGAAAAGCTTGCCAATGAAAAATGTTTAAACGCCCACATGGCGGCAACGGCCAACTTTTAATTGAAAGTCATATTCAATTTTTGCATATTAAATTAAACGGGGCCCGCAGCAATTGGGTTCATCAGCTGCCATTGGCAGAAATAAAAAAATAAAATAAAAATAAAATCAAATACGGCTGCCACAAATACAACATCGAGTTGCCCTTGAGGACTATCCCACAACTTCCGTTTCACATTTGTTTTTTTTCGTTTTTGTGGTGGAAAACTTCCGGCACACGAGGCATGTGACATTTGGTATTGAATGATGTGCCAAGTCATGTGAATTATGCTCCCCAAAGTTTTCCAATCGACTAAATTTGGAGGCAACAATAAAATCGAATGGCGCTCAAATTCCCCTCAAACATTTGACACCTTTTCTGTTGCATTTCGGGCTAATTATAGTTGGCCTGGTCGGATTGACATTTGCAGGCCTGACTAAACTCACCAAACTGACTAAACTAAAGAGGGCGCCGATGCTATTCATAGGAATGAGGTTGTGCCCGGTCTGTGGGATATTTGTGCCCAGTGATCCAAAATTTGAAACCGGGTATGATAGATATTTGGTGGCCATTTCATAAAAATATTATTATTTTATGAACATTTTTTATAGAAATGTAATATAATAAAGTATTTTCAGTGCTGGGATTAATTCTTCTAATTTTTTAAAAGCCTACAGAAAATAAAAAAATAAGTGACAAAAAATCTAAAGGGATTGGTAGGTATAAATAATTTAATTTGGAACGCCATGTTATGCAACTTGTTGTTGTCTAAAATATTTAACATTATTATGCGATTTCTCATTAATCCGATTTTGATTTATTCAGCAACCATAGGATATTCTCAAAAAAATGCGCATATCTTTACCACTGTGCCAGCATAAATTTCCCTTTTTTATTCAAACCACTGGGAAACGTGTGTCTTTTGCACCGTTTTTTCCACCAAGTTGTTTTTTGTGTCGCTGTTCCACATTCAAATGCTCTGCCACAAATCATAGCGTGCAATTTGTCAGCTCATTTCGGTTTGGGTTTCATTTTGGCCCGCCTTTGTTAAGTTATGATGACATTCAAACCTGTCAGCAACTGCCTTGCAAAGTGGCAAAGAAATTCGGCGCGGGGAGTTGGCATTTTCCTACATTTTCCTACATTTTTCTCTGCCCGGAGATTTATTTGGACTGTGTCGCAATAGTTTCTTGGTCGTCCATGCACCTGCTGTGCTTTTCCCGCAGCCAAAAAATCGGGGTCGCTTTGTCGCATAGAGCGTCTTCTGTTTTCTAGATCATTTATCATTCTTGTTGCGAAATTTCAGCCTGCAGTTAGTCCAACAAACAGGAGCATTTATTTTTGCACTCACAAAATAAACCAAAGGAAAACTAGTGGATGGATTTTGTGGTCAAATCTTTAAATACCCTAGAAAATAAAATATTTCTTCTAAGAAAAATGGAAATGAAATATTTTGATCTGTATAGAAAAGTAAAAATCAAGGCTGTAATTTATATGAAACTCTTATTATAAATTATAGAATGCAATTTCAATTACGACCTTTCTGGAAGGGTATAATAAATTGTTGCACTAGAGCTTACGCGCAATTAAATATAAAATGCTTTTCATGTCTGGGCTATAAAATATTTGTCTATTTCGGATTTGTGTGTCTAGGTTGTTGGCATCGTGAAAACTTTTAAACGCCACTATTCTTTTTTAATGCGATTCTTGGAATACTTTCGCTTGTAGTATGTGGAAAATGCCATAAAATTGGAGCGTCACATCGTTGGGCGCCATTAACAATAATTTAATTAAAACGGATTACAGGGCCAAAAAAAGACGAGAGGATTTTGTGGGGGAGTCAGTTTAATGAGGCGGCTAATTGAATCGGTTAATGGCCGCCAATTAAATCTAACCATTATAAATCCATTCAATGTCAACAGCAGAGGGAAATAAATGGAATAAACTACAAAAAAACTAACAGCACTCAAAATGTCAACCTTGTGGTAATCATAGAGCAAAAGTAGTTTTGCAAAAAATAAAGAGGAAAATATTACAAAAAGTGAACAAAGCAAAATGCATTCAAGCGGCAATTGTCAGCGACATCAAATTAAATTTGCCGCCATCGCCGACGTCTGGAGATTGTGCGCGGGTGTAGCAATCGAGAGCCTGTGAAAGTGAAATTTGAAGTCGTGATATCGATCAGAGCGGGCCAACACACGCTCAGGAAAACTCTTACGCGGATCAAAGGAAATTTATACAGAAAAGTAAAGAAAAAACCCAGTCGAAATGGGGGCCCACAGTTCCAAGGAGAAACTGTCGCGTTCATATTCCGAGCGCTATATCCACAGCCAAATGATCGAGCGCGAGCGCTTCGGCAGTTTTGGCAAGCGGGCCTCCAAAGGCCTCACAAAAGGTGAGTTTTCGGGGAATTGGGGAGGAATAAGAAAAATGCTAATGACTTGGATCGTTATGGGATAAGCCCACATCGGAGGGCTTTAACTTGCAATATAAACAAAGGCAGAGTTGTGCAAGCATCAAGCAAACTTATCTTAGAAATTACGGTGCTATAATAAAATATATTTTAAAATATTAGAACATTTTTTCACACTGCCTTAAATTTAATATTAAAATCTTAAAACAAAAACCAAAATTCGCATACTTAAAATTCACTAAAAATTGAACAAAACACACAGTCATATCCCCTAACCCATTCACATATTCCATTTAGCGTCAGGAAACGTAATCCTTTGGCCATTTTAAGCCTTTTCTAAATTCCCACTGCTGTATGTGAAATGCCACAAAAGGATTACGTGACAGCGGGGCAACGCTCTTCGCAGATAAAAGTTTTTCATTTTCATTTGGCCTAAGCCCCGCGTGCAACTTTTATTTCCATGTCCATGTCCAGCGCAATTAGCCGTCAGCTAAAATAAAATTTATTACAACATCCAAGCCGCAGCTGCTTCTGTGGTCGAACTCGACTCGAGTTGGCAATGCATTTTTCCCGCTGGCCTTGTTGATTACCTGGCCCTAAAGTGGCTAATCTGGCCCACAAATAGTGGCTAACAAGTGCCGAGTGCCGGACAACTGGAACCGAAGATGGCCAGACCGACAATAGGAGGTCGTTAAGAAAGGAAGCCCCAAGTTATAGCGTGAATTGAAGTTGATTAGTGCGGCGTAGGGCATATAAAATATGATTGATTACTAGATATTTTTCGGAAAATTAGATTGGACTTTAGGAGAAGCAAAGAAAGTTGTCTAAAATACGATTGAAACTAAGCTATTGAGTTAAAAAAAACTTAATAAGATGAGTATAGAATTAATACTTTCGAATGTGTTATAATTTAACTTTTAGTATAAACTGTAAACTACCAAATATAAATATATGCCTAACTTTTATACTAAGAGTTAAAGAAAGTTAAACTATGTTTTTTTTTGGTATATTGTTTCATGTTTAATAGCCTTCTTAAATTTATTCCAACTAATATATTAAAAACTTAATTTCTTGAATTAAGAAATCGCTTTGTAGAACTGCCTTAATTAATGCTCTTAAGAACTAAAGTGCACTTCAGAAACTAAGCAACTAAAAACTAAAAGCGGGGTTCTTCAAATCATATCCGGTGCCTTTCATCTCAAACTCGAACTCCTCTCCCGTTGAGAACTAATGGATGCCTGCACTGGCATAATATAATTTCACCCTTTATTGTGTACATACATTTATCGCGGGGCAGGCACTTCAATTATGGAAACGCTTTGTTTTAATCCACAAAATGTTAAAATGCAAATAGCGTTTCCCACCGAAAGATAAAAAGACCCCCAACTGTTTTTTGGGGGGGATGGGAAACAAGTGTGATTTTGCCTTTGAGTTATTAAATGGGAATCCGAGTGCATAACTCAATCCAACCCAGACACTTTAAAGCTTTGCGTTTCATGGCAACGTGTTTGCGCATAAATTACCCATTCGCATTCGCATCCGCATCATCCATATATTGATTGCAGGGAACGACAGAGCATTTACCAAACCATTTTGTTCATTTTCTCCTCTTTTTTCCATTTGTCTCTTGCAGGAGCTGCCAAAAAGCGTGATGTGCGCAATCTGAGCATATCGCCAACCGATCTGGGTCCGCCACCGAAAACTCAGCAGACGACCAAGGGACAATCCACGCGCAACAAATCATCAGCCACTCCCACGCCCACATCAATACGTAAGTCCAGAATTTCAATATAAATATTTTAAGTATGTCGAAAGCCTAATAGTTGTAGCTATAAAGCTTCGAGGTGCGAAATAATCGAGTTGGTCCTAAAGTGATTTATTTAAAATATTTCTACAGAATTATTAGGGTTTGAAAGGTGCATAAAAGTATGTAGAGAAAAATAGATAGTCGTGAAAAGTAATGTTGCCTATTTTTGTAAACCTTTTTGAGAGTTTTTAAGAACATAGTGATTTTAAAAATATTTTTAAAACTATTATTTCATCTATGAAAGAGTCTAAAATATTTTTCACAATTTTCTATTTAAAATACTTTAAAATAAGAGTAGCTAAAAAGTATTAGACTTGAGCTCTGTCATTTAAACTCCCATGAAACCTCTGACATCTTTCTTACAGCTGCAGACGTAAAACACTTTTTACAGCTTCTTGGAAGCCCCCCTTTCAAAGGTGTCAACTTTTGTCAAGAACCGCCCTTTGCAACGCCCCATCTCTTTTTTCTTTTCCACAAGAGTTATACACGTTTAAATGCGAAATCATCGCTCAGGTGAAATGCTCAACTTGTTGCCCTCAATGAATTGCTGAATCTGTCCACCTGGCCGATCCGTTCTTTCTTTTCTTTTTCTGCTAACCGTAAAAGTGTCGTATCTTGTCGCTGGTCCAGCCATGAAGTCGCTATATTTCAATTGAGGGCGTGTTTTAGCTCCCAGTTGGTGGAAAAACAATTTAGCGCTCCATTCCCACAGTAAGGAAAATTGTGAGGAAAAATCCATGCCAGCTGCATTTAAGCAACAGCTGTTGCCGAGGTGACATTTTGTCTACAGACTCCTCGCAGCTTGCCCCAAACTCCTGGCCAAATCTGTGCCATATGTGTGCCTTTGAATTCTGCGCAAATTCGGCATCGTTGACTCATTCCCTGTGAGTCATCATCGGTCCCCCATCAAGTTGGACTGAATGTGGTAATTGATTCGGTGGAAAAATGCCTAAAGTTACTGATTGCTTCATTGATTTTGAAGAGATGTTCAGGGGGTATCAAAAGCTGTTAATTCTTGAGCATTTAATATTACCTTTTCCTTGAAACTATGTTTTTCAATTACAAACTTTATCGAATAAGGTTTAAAAGTAATCAGAATTATTCAAAAGACATGATTTTTCAATAAAACAAAGTTTAAGCAAGGTCAAATAAATAAATTAAAAAATGTTCTTTATTTATTTCTTTTACCAATTTAAAGCTGCTCAAAATCAACAATAAATTTTAGCATAATTTACATGTCTGCAACGTATTAATTAAAGCATTTTTGCCACATGTTCAATTAACGAATTTCGAAAGCCGAGTCTCCATTATCTTTCTTTTATAAAGTTCATACTTGGCCTATTCTTTCGTGTAGAATTTCGATGACCTCATAATTTCCATTTGTTATGTTGATGGCAAAGTGGGGCAATCGAAAGATGAAACTCAGTAAATCATAGAGTATAGAATAAATATAGAACTTCGGAAGGGATCACTCTTTGGAGAATCTGTATTCAATTTCCAGTCATTTAGCATGACTTTTGTGCGGATTTCATTATTTTGTTTACGGTCGTGCCCCGGGTCATGCAAATAATGTTGGCAGGCCTGCATAAATTAGCCTTAATAGGGAAATTCATTGTGTTCGCCTGCCGAGATGCTGCTAAATTGCCTGAAATGTCGCAGGGCTGTGGATACGATTTCGCTAAGAGAATGCTGGGGCATTGCATTCTATTTATAAGCAAAGTAACTGGCAAAAGAGTCTAATTTAAAATTACTTTTACCCCGATCGCTGTGATCATTGTGCAGGGAATATGCAGAGTGAACATGCTTATCGCGCCATTTTCACATCGACTTCGGGGGGTTGGGGTTGGGGGCAAAAAGAAAAGCATGAAAAACGATGGTGAAACGTGTTTTGCATACTCAATGGGGGAAAAACAAGCTTTGTTTGTGCTTTTGGATCACGCTCTCGGCTGGAATTTCTTGTACTAATTAAGATTTATTTAGCCAACATGCAATTTCTTGCAATTAAAGCCCCCGGAGATTAATCAAAAGAGCAGTATTCAAATCGGAGTGCTTTTCATTCTAAGCAGTAGTTTGTTTTCTTTTTTCTGCAAGGGTATATCTCTCAAGACGTGCCTTAAATTCTTTCAGCTTGGGACTATCTCTACTGATAAGCAGGAGTTCTATTAGCACAACCATCATGAAGGCAATTGGCCTATAATCGCCATAAACCATTCCGTATTCACTGGACAACTCGGTGGGGCAAACGTGCTGGCTTTGAGCCCACACTAAACTCTTTTTAACCCACGTCTGCCGGTTGGCTTAAAGAAAACACCTAAATGATTATTGGCATAATTGCGCAAGATCGATTGAGTCGTCGGCACTTTCGCACCTCAGATTGGCTGCCCACGTACTTAAATCGAAGAGTTTTGAAAGCTATCCGAATCCGAATTCAAATCCCAATCCGGTTACTCGATTTCTGGAGCTCTCCATGGGTGGCACTCACATAGCTCCAATAAAGTTCAGAACTCTCGTCTGACATTGACATTCGTGGCATTGTAAACTCTTGTATTTTTTTTCCTTTGGCCTGCACAATTCCATTGTTTGTACTTGCCCGGTTTGTTTTTTTTTACCGCCTAGACTTGTACTAGCCATTTATGGCTTCTGGCGCTGGTTTGTTTAGTGTTTTTTTTTTATGTTTTTTCCTTTTTGTTTTTGCGGTTAGCATTGAAACCGAAGCGGTGACAAAGCGGGCTAAAAAGATTTCAGCACGAGCGGGAGAATTACGGAGGCAAAATGGGAGATACGACAGCTTCTCGGTTCCCCAGTGAGGTCAATGGTGGACAGTACTACCTGTATAGGAAAGCCAAATTATGCTAATTATTACCTGTATCGTCTGCAAGACCAAAGAGAAAAAATGCAGAAGCTGAAGAGAATAATTTAAGAGAAATAAACTTAAGAGTAAAATGTTGCTAAAGAGAGATCTTCAGCAACATCAACTGCTTGCTTACTCTTTGGCAACATTTTACTGAACTGCTTGCTTGTTTAAAATGTAAATGTAAAATGTAAATGTAATAAATATAATATTTAAAGGAAAGGGATAAAACAAATAAATAAATTAAATTAAATAGTTCGTTTTAAAGAACTATAAACGTTTAATTTACATTTAAACGTTTCGTTTTTAGTACTCAAAGAGACCCCGCAACATAGCAACATCTGCACTGCTTGCTCACGCACCTGCCTTTTTACGGCCTAAAACAGGTGTTTCTGTTTTGGCATTCTTTCCCTGTTTTGCACCTTGTGCACCTTTGCTTGCAATGCAAACTGGTTTTCTTTTGATTTCATTAATTTGGTCAAATTATGACATGCTGGGCGGCCAGCGCTTTGGTTCGGGATCGTTATTTCCTCCGTTGAATTCAGACTTAAGATTCAGATTTTTGCCTTTTCTGCGCTCCCTGCCATTGGGCCGCTCAAGTGCATTGATAGCCGGAAAGCGGTATATTTTTACTTGTTTTATCATATTCATTTGACCTAGTAGACGTGGCAAATAAAATCTGATCTGAACTTAAAAAACACGCCTCGAAATAAAGAAAATACATCAGAATTTTTAGCCTATTTCCACATTGATAAAGTATATTTTAGATCCACGTTTTTATTCTTTTTATCATACTTCGAACGCGAGGAGGGGGCCGTTCGGAGTGAAAGAGATTAAGATAAAGATGGGTTTGCGTGGATTCTTTCGTAAACATTTCGGCAGTAAAAATTTAATTAAAAGTATAGACGATAGCAAAATAATTTATAAGGAGAACGGCGAGATCAAGAGTACACCCTAATATTTGCAAATCCTCTGGAAAATACTGATGAATGATTTTCCCTCTTATCATTGCAGATAAACGTTTAAATGGCACTTTGGGAGGACCTGCGGCTACTACAACACCCCTCAAAGGAGTGGCCACAAAATCAGCAGCCACAAACAAACAACCACAATCGGCGAAACTAAAATCAACCACGATTATTAAAAGCTCCTCAATTGCCGGCGTTTCCGAGGGTAAGTGTCAATGGGGGAAAAAATTATATTTCGTACAAGTTAATTACGCGAAGGGAAATCGAAATTGGAGCACTTCGAATTGATTGTAACCCCATTATATATTTCCTATTTCCCTTTTTTTCGGTCGATCGAAAGACGCAAAGTGAAAGCATACGAAATTCAAGTTTACTCCAAATCAAATTAATTTTTATCTGAACGTGCCGCCAAAGTTTTTTGTCTGGCCAAAAAATTAGTTACAATGGAATGGCACAATAGCTAGCTGACGGTTGCAAAATGATCTCGAGGGGACAGTTTTTGGGCTTAAGAGTTGGCCCAACTTTTGTAATTAATATTAAGGCAGCTAATTAGCCGTTTGGGAATTAGGAGGAGAGCTAGTGATCCAGTGAGCCACATGAGCTTTGCACATCTTGCCACCTGTTCTGGTGTCAAATGCGTAGCACGCCTCCAAATGATTCCAATGTGGGTTCAGTACTCGCTTACAAAATATATTAAGTATTTATATACACATCAGCCAGCTTGGCATTAAGGTTGGGCACTCCGAATGCCACTAATAGGCGGTGATTATCTTTATGGGATTCGTCTATACGACTTGTTTAACTAATTTGGGCTTCTTCGCCTGAGGTTACTGGCTAGGGTAAATTCTAAAGCTTGAAAAATATCGAAAGTTTTCTATTTTCCGATATTTATGGTTTTTTTCCTTCAAAACTTTGATATTATATCAATCAAAAATATCGAAAATATCGATATGTTTCAAACTCTAGTATATAAGTAGAAAGGGTGAAAATTTATCGAAAGTTAGCTATATCTAGATATTTAATAGGCGTTTTTCCTTCAAAACATTGATATTATCGAATTTATATTGCGAAAATATCGAAAATATCGTTATGTTTCCAACTCTAGTATATTCTACATTCCAAATATAAAGGCCAAAGAAAAGGTAGATAAGAACAATATTCGATTTCTATGGATATTCGATTCTAATGAATAAAAACAATTTACATTTTGTGGTAATATTACACTTTATTCTGCATCGTTAACTTTCAAGTTTGACCATTTAATTCAATACCAGCTGCAAAACTCCCCGACTTTTCTTTACCTATCAATTTTGGTCTTTATCTCTAGCCAGTTCAGCAGTTGAGTAAGCAAGTGAATTTACTGGTTAACTTTTATGAGCATATATATATATAATGCTTACATAATCGTGAGCATGACCCCCACTTGGCAGGTGGTTCTACAGCACTCACACACTGGGAGAATTCAGCCCCTCGTTCTGCGCACAAATGTCACAACTTGTTTATGCCGCTCTAACGAAATTCGCTTTGATGTTCAGCGAGTTGTGGCTGTGTGCTCTTTGTTCTTGTTTTTCATACTGGGCGTTGGTGTACGCTCCACTGACCCCCCAAACACCCTTCGCCCCCACTCGTGAGCCACTGCATCGTGTTGGCTTATTTGAAGTTAAATTGTTTGTTAAATGTTTTAATGCGCCTCCCCTGATTTTCCCCCCTTTTCTGTGGGAATATTAGCTCTGAGCAGAGCTCGAAGCCATCACTTTTCACCCACACACTCTTTATGGCGCTGAGTTTGACTATTTTGTTGAATTTTATTTATTGCTTTCACACCATCCACTTTGGGGGAGCGATCAATTAAGTTGTCATTTAATTTTGATTGTGCGTGATTGTGGCCCGCATGTGAAATGAACATTGGGAAAGTTATAGACGAAAGGCAGTGATGATTTACGAATGCCCTTCTGTAGTTTGTGATTGAAAAAAAGTAAAAAACCTAAAAAAAAATATATAAAATGGTTTTACAGTATCGATATTTTTGATATTTTCACAATATCGTTTCGATAATATCCATTTTTTTAAGGTAAAACTGAAATTAAATATCGGAAAACAGCAAACTGTTGAAATGTTTTCAAGATATCTTATTTTTTATTTTTTGAACTTTCAAAAAGAAAGGATATTTTTTAGAAGCTTTGATCTAAAATGCTTTGATGTCCTATAAAATAACCTATATATTTTTTTTATGAAGGGTATAAAGTAAATAAAATCTCTTTAAAACACACGCCAACTCTTTTTGGTTGGCTTGCCTTTGGGTGTGTGTATTTCGCCTTTGTGTGGCCAAAGGCAGCCCATTATCTGACTGCTTGTTTTCACTCTAATTTATGGCCTACACACATCAAGTTCATTGATTTCAGCCTTGTTGTCGCTATCGTGGGCTTTTCTTTATGGCCATTTTTCACGCTTTTGCCGGATTAATTGTCAAGCGCTTTTCCCCATCTTCGATGGCACGCTTCGCGAAGGAAAATATCATCGTAATCTATTAACTGTTTTGCATTTTGCAACTGCAAATTGCTGAGGCAAAAAAGAGTTTATGGCCGCCCCTCTTGGCCAGAAATCAAACACCAACACGCACCTTTTGAGTATTTTTGCGTTGCTTCTTTTTCTCGTGCCTTTTTTTTGGAAATACTTTTACTTTTCTTCAGCGGTTTCTGCCATGCGTAACCAATGTAAAAAAATACATACCCATACCATAGATATGGAAAATTATTACTACTTTTGAGTATTGAGTACGTTTCCATAACAATTTGCAATTCATTTTGAAGCCCACACATGAACCGCTTTTGCAAGCCGAAAGATTTGTAAGAAAATAGCTGGGCTCATTTACAAGATTGCTTCATTGGTGGTCGTTGAAGTCGGTAGGAAAAACAATAATTGAAATATTGTCATTAAGATTTATCCATACCAAGTATAAACGGATGTTTTCCTATATAATTTCTCATAAGCAAGCAACATTAATTAGATTACATTAACATACTTTAACCCACAAAAACTAAAACCATATTGAACTGTCAGCTGAAAATTTCCCAAGTTTAATTCGCATGACAAATTTATGCAAGAAGAGAGGAAAATGAGGATTTCTTCTGCCTACTTCGTGGGTTTTATAATTTGCACACAAAAGTTGACTAAAACCGAAGCCAAATATTGCATAAATTGTTGAGAGCCCAAAGACCAAACAAATAAAAACCAGAGGCTCTTAGGGCTTGAGTAATTTCGCCTTTGAATAATATATATACTTTGGCGTGAGAACTGCGTTTTATGGTAGTTATGCATAAATTTTGATCGGGATGTTTATGGGCATATACATTTTAAATAATTCGCCACATTTCGCAAGCTTTGCAATGAGAGTTGGCTTTCTTCGATTGAACAATTGTGTTTTTGGGGGCTTACGTAAGTCCCCGAATTCCTATTAATCTGAAACTTTCGGTTTTTTACATTCAATATCCGGGCACATGCCATGATTGTTTCCTTGTTTAATCAATTTTTTTATGGGGTTTTGGGGCTTGAATAATTACCGAATTGAGGTCAAGATTCAATAGAAATGCTTTCTTGTCTGGCCATAATTATCACGGCTTAATCTCTTCAAACCTGATAAAGTTTATAGCCCTCGAGCTTCCAACTGGAGCGTGGCTCTTAATGAGCTGTGCTCGCTCAGCGCGGAGTTCTTACCATCCGTAATCATTTCAAAGTTTTCTCCTCACTTCTATATGAGTAGTTTTGCATATGGATGGTATACAGTCAGTTGAAAAACTACTTTTGCTGTTGGCCAACTGTGACGTGAAAGTCATGGCGACAATTTTGAAAAAATAACAAAAAACTATATATAATTACATTCCCCACAACAAAAGCAGAAGCTGAGATGAGGCTCAAAGTGAAAAGATAAATATTAGTGAAAGGGGTGAGGTAACTTTCGATTGGGTAATTCAATATAAAATATTATTTCATTTTCCAACTTTACATTTTATTTTCTGTCATCGGAAAATGCCACTTGGTCTTGAAACTCGCCGGCGTTTCAACAAAATTTGTTCGGTCAATATATCCGATCTTCTCGTTTCATAGCATTGTCAAAATTCCAATTTAATCCTTCGTCGAATGTGCGCAGTTTGAATTTTTTCCGAGTACTGACGACGCCTTCGAATTTTAAGGAATTGACTTGATGTAAACTGCCTTTTTGGTGGCTAACTTTTACTGTATGGTCTCTGCTGCTGCTCAAAGCTAAAGTTTGAGTTGAAGTTGGGTTTGGAATTGGAAATTGTAAGACTGAAACTAAAGCCGGCGACCGAGGCAGCGACGTTGGCGTCGACTGAGAAAGAGCGATCCCCCGATTTTGCTGCTTTGCCGTTTGGCTGTTCATTTTGCGGATCCGCGGTTAGTTGCGCGCTGAACTCTGAAACCACCGGACGTGTTGTGTACGTGTATGTGTCCCCCTCTTCGCGCAGTGTACGTGTTTAGTGGCTTATAACAAATAGCGGGTATAACAGTTTGACGACAGTTTGAGAGCCACTGGGAGCCCATCAGGCGCATGCTCCAAACAAATGGGTCTCAACGAGTTTGTGTCACTTCTGTACGGCTCCTCGCAAAGTCTGAATGCCAACAAGGACGCGTCCACGTCCACGACGTACTCATTGCCAACGGTCGCGGATTGGAAAGAGTTCCAGCAGATGTTGAAAAATCACAAAAATGTGCAGGCCAAAAAGTATGGCTACACGGACTATCATCATTCTAAAATCTATGCGGGCATTGGATCCGCAGGAGGAGGAGGAAAAGCAGGAGGTAACAGTGGCAGCAGCGGAGGAGGAGGAGGATTAGGTGGCAAGGGAGAGCCTTCCGATGGCATTAAGAAGCTACTAAACAACAACAGCAGCACACAGAACAACAACAACATGGCCAAAACATCACGCATCCCGACGACAACCTCGAAATCCATGACTTCCTCGGTCTCTTCCTCCGGCAGCAGTGAACTGGACATCTTCCGCTCGTACACCAAAAAGTCCATCAAGTCCTCGCTAACATCCTCGACGCCGTCGAGCTCCTTTCTCTGGAACTCCTTTCGCATGCCACGCAAACAGAAATCTTCGCTGGCCGAGAAGAAACGAAGCGGCGGTGAGTAGATGGAAAAAATCAATTGCCAAATTGGGAGAATCTCCGGTACACTTAGAG